CTTGTGGAATTCTTGCACAGTCTTAATAAATTATCTTCAAAATGAATATTGTGTTTTTACCACTTTATCAGATTTCAGTTCTTATATTTCTGCCAATAAGATGGTAAACAAAGAGAACATTAAAAAATAACGTATATTCTCAAACAGGTAAGAAATTTCATTTGGACATATATCTTAGAAGTATGACAATTTACACTATGTTAGATTTTGTGTCCCTTCATAAGAAATGTCATTCTCTACAATCCCAGAGTTTATTGTGATTCACATCAACTTTATTTTCATAGAAATTATAGGAATTATGAGGTACTTAATTCCTTTACAGTGGATCTTCCTTTGCACACATTCTGACAGGTACTGTTGATTTCATGACCATATCTGTGAAGGTAACTTTCTGTGGTACCCTAAAACCTTGGCACATAGTATTAAATAACGTTTTCAAGAAAATCCTTCTCTTTGTACACTAAGTAGTAATATAATGGGATGTGAAATAAGGTGTGGCTTTGACTCTGCATGCAAGTCAAGAAAATGTTAAATTTGACAACAAATGTTGCTGTGGACTCACAAGGATGCTGTTGTACAACTTTCTTTATGTAATCTGAAATACAAACAAACAACTTCAGTGGTTCCTGTAATATTTCTCATTTCATCTTAATCTTGTTGCCTGCACTTATGCATTGCCTTTTAAACAAGTCTATAGCATTTCATTTTTTGTAACTTGAATTTTTATCTTAAATTGTATGGGCATCAGATCCCACTTAATGAAATGCCATCTAAAGTACTTCTCGAACTTTGTATAATTGGTACCAGAAACGGCACCAGTGACATCAATAGACCCACCCATCATTAATTCTGGACCACCGAATAAATGCTTCTGATATTTTCTTTCAAATATGTTGAATTTCCTTCCCACACAACTCAATAGAAATTATAATTTAATTGTATGAGTCGAGATTGTACACGTATGAATACGTTTGTCTAGATTACAATCACGTGTTACAAATACCTTCTAATGTTTCCCAATTCTACCATACTACATCTCTGAAATCTCATCCATTGACACCATCTTCGTGGATTATTTCAAAGGCAGAAATCTAATGATCTCCTATTTCAATTTTTTCTGTCTCTCCAGTGTTTTCATTAGACATGGCTGACTCTATGATCTGGTTCTAAATTACTCAACTTGCAAAATCAGCATCATAATAAGCTTTCAGTTCTTGACATTTGGTCTTCACATTTTTTACAACTCTTTAGTTGTTACAGGTCTCACTACGGAGCTTGGATTCACAGTGATCCTCTGGGTTTCAGCCTCCACAGAGCTGGAATTACAGGCATGAACCACTTCACCCTGACTCTATGGTCAGCACACCCTGCCCTTGGCATGGGGCTGCAAAGGCATGTGGTATCAGGGTTCAAATCAAAATATTCTCTCAAGCTTTCACAGAGAGCACATTGGCCAAGCAATGGCCGTGACTCATCCACGTGGCTGACACTGATAAAGGTTCTACAATCTGAAGTACAGGATCTCAGGATAAATCCTGAGGGGATTTCACTGACCTTATCAGACCCAAAAGCTACAACTCTTGTTGCACAGGTCCTGCTTTACCTTGGTCTTAACCATCCAGTAGAGAAATATAAAAACGAAATATGAGAAGTAAAGCCATGTTGTTATGTTGAGGTGTGGGGGACTCATGTCAACAATTTCTGACATTGCCAGTTAAACAGAAGACCCAATACTATTATGGGCTACTGGACTCTTTTAGAATATTTTGCTGAGTTTACACACCTATAATATTCAAATAATGGAACTTAATAAAAAAAGGGTATAAAGATGAATGTCCATTTTGTATCTTTGTATTCAAAGTGGATAGAATAGATATATAGTTACATTCTCTTAATGAATAGAATGATTTGTTCTAATGGTGCTTGTAAATAGGAAATCAAGTCTGCATCTTGTATAGCAATTAACCACTGAGAAGAATGTATGCAGTGTGTTAATTATTGAAACTGTCCTACCAAATTGATTTGAAACTGTCTCATTGCTATTTGTTTATCAATAAAATTATGGCAAAAATAAAATAAAATATATATGCATACTTTTCCTATTTAAAAAAAAAAGATCCCTGTGCCTACCTACGCTTGCCTAAGGAAGGACTTTAGTCAGCTTAGCTATCTAGCTGACACCTGTACTTATCATTTTAACAACAGTTCTATTTTGGTTCTTATTGTTCATCACTTGGCCTGTTCCTGCACTTGCTCATTTGTCATTACTAGCAATTTAAATGGGACAGAATATAATCAAAAAGAAAGTTCTCTTAGTATTTCAGTACTTCCCTTTAAAGTTATAATTCACACAAATTTTATTACTTAATTGTACTCTATCTTTTCAAATAGTGTATAAGATTTTAACGGGGTCCTGTGTTTATGTTTTTCTCTTACTTAACATTTACGGTAGAATACACTAGTTAGCTTATATATTTTGAATAACAATAGAATAAAAATGTGTACAATAAAAGGCCAGCCAGATAATTTGGTGAAATTAAAGGCCTACAGAGGAAGATGCAGGACATTGAGACTGGGAATGGTGGCAAGCCCATTTAATTCCAGTGCTTGGGAGACTGAAAACAAGATGATCACTATGAGTGTGATCTCTGCATGAGACCCTATAGAATGTGCACTAAATACATAAAATTAAAAATTAATGTGAATAATGAGGACCATATTTTAATGGACAACATTCTGGATACCTCTGGTGCATTCTGTGTTCTTTTTCTGATGAGAATGAAATGCATCTACTAGAGATGAAATCAAATTATATTATTTTAAACAAAGTCTTTCAATACAATCATTGAATTTGATATTTTTTCCAGGCTTGTGTGAACCAGTGGATTTCCTATTGTACCCTCTGAATTTCTCATAGTAGAGGTATGTGATACCAAACCCAACTAAAATATAAGTTGCTAATTGGCAAAGAACTGTTACCCTTTCCTCATGTCTTTCTCACTGTGAGTCATGACTTTGAAGGAATAGAGCAGAATATTCTCACTGAAAATTAAAACACAAATTAAGGCAAGAATATATTTACCTTAGGCAGAGGTTTGGGAGGTTTGCAATGGAGTCCCCCAACAAACTCAAAATTTGGTAAGGTTGGACGTGGAAATTCCAAATCCCAATAGCTTCGAATAAGCCACATGTCTGCCTTTTGCATTGTCTCATATAGTGTTGTTGGTTTTCCTTTATTTCAAAGGAGAAAATAGAAAAAGTTAGGCAATTTTCATTGACAAATATAGGTTATATAGAAATAATAAATATTTTCTATTTTATGTGTAGGTCAAATGTGTCTGAGAGAAAGAGATTCAAAAGACACTATATCTATAATATTATCTCACTATATTTTCTATGAGAAGCAGACATTAAAAACATATTATATGATAGAGCAAGTATTCCTTGCTCTAATCAAACATAAGCAAATGTTCTAGCTTGAGAGTCAGGTGAGCCTACTATAACCATGGAAAAATTCTTTCAGGAATTCCGTAGTTTCTACCATTAAACAAGTTAAGAACTGATCCAAGTGACCCATGACTTCTATAAGATTGTGGTTGAAATACTTGCACTTCCCATTGCTTTTGGTTCATTTATGAGTACAAAAGTTTGTGTTAGTAATTTACAAGCAATTTTTTGCAACATTTGGTCAATTTTCAGAAATTAATGAAATACAGATTCGTGCTTATACTTCACTGTGAGCCTTTCTTTTCTGAAGAGAAAAGCATGATAAAATAATATATATAATTCCTACATTTCCAAAGATATTAAATCTCTAAAATGGATGATGAATACTGACTTTTCATAGCATGTGTAATCATGAAAAAAATGTAATAATATTTAAGTCTGTGATAAAACATCCTATTTTACAGGAGTGAAGGTGTCTTTTACACAACTAAAATTCCTTATTCGTTTTAGGCAAGGAAACTGATGTGCTCAGGAAAATAATAATTCCCTCAATGCTTAAATATTTTGCTACAAACATGTAACACTTTTATCTCCTAGTCTTCATTCATAAATATGTTAGGAAAGTGCCTAATGACTCTTATTTCAAATGAAAAGAATACAAAATTGATATGAAGTTGAAAGTCTTAAATCTGAAAGCATCATGTTAGAATTATGTGACATCCCAGAATTGTCTATACAAGTAGAGAGCCTCTGATTGCTATTTGACCTTGTAATGTACATATTTCTACTATGTCTGTGAGATTCACAGATAATTCCAATTTTTACATTATCTCTTTCCTATAAAATACAAATCCCTCTTCTTGTACTTTCATCCAAACTTATTTGCAAGAGCTCAATATTGTAAAGATCTCCCTCTGCTGATTAAAATATAACTTACCTAAAATTTCACTGTACATCTTGTTCCAATTTTTCTCATTAAATGTTTCAAACCAAAAGTCAAAATAAAGCATGCAGATCATGTTTTTCACCCTTTCTATGAAAGTCATTTGACCACTTAAGCCTGACAACATAACAGGCACATAAGAAGGAGGAAGTGGAAGCCCTCCTGCCACTTTTTCCACTTGGAATCCAGGGGTGAAGCGAAGACTGTACACGAAGGGTAGTTTCAAAAGCTCAGCCACCAGCTCACCACAGGGAGCAACAGGATCCGCGAGAAGGACATCAAATTTTGATTCTTGTAGTTTTGACATAAGCCTCTTATTGGAAATTGCTTCTTTACAAATAATCTCCCAAACACTTGAATATACCACAAGAGCATTCTCTATCTCTGGAGAGTATGCCAAACATGTGTTTATTGGTCCCATTTTCATCCTCACACTGATAAATTCATTATAAATTATTTTCAGTTGTTCTGTATTGATAGATGTAGTAAATGTTTCAAATTTAATATCAGATGGTACACTACCATCAACAAAAATGAAACTTGAAGGTATCAGAACTGTCACCTCATGTCCTCTCTGGATGAGTTCTTCTAATATGTTCTTCATAACCAACCAAGGGCTGTATTCCATGGGCCATACCAGAACCTTTCCACAGCTACCAGAGTGGAAATAACTGCAAAATTGTAGCAGCAACAGAGTTGAGATCCACTTCATGGACATTTTTGTAAAATGCTCTATTTCCTTTCAAATTGTATAACTTTCTGCAGTTACTCCAGTCTACTTACATGGAAAATTTACCCAAGAAGTTAAAAGATAACTCAGACTGGTCAAAGTAAATACATCAAACTGGCCGAGCATGAGGATTGTTGGCAGACAGAAAATGCAAATGTGAATTATGTTGTGCTTTTATGAAAGCATTTAATTCCTCTTATGATAGTCCAGATATCTGACACATACTGATCTTTGGGTCACTAGTTTGGACCCAAAGATCAGTATGTGTCAGATATCTGGACTATATAACCAATGTAAATTTCATATGAAAACAGTGACAAATTCAGGGTGACTATACCTGCTGTGTTGTGACATGGATCTAGTGATACGCTACTTAACTAGTGAAATGCAATTATTGGAAGTCATGATTCAAAAGAAAAGGGGGGATGGGGATTACAAAATAGCTCACTGGACAAAGTGCCTGCTTAGGCAAGCACTGTGACAGAGATTCAATACCCAGCACTGCATGTCAAACTGGTCCTGCCCCACGGGCATGCTCAGCCTGAATCCAGGCATCGTGGTGCAAGGTTGAAATCCCCCTGCTGGCAAGGCAGAAAACTGAAGGATAAATTTTGCTGCATATATTTTGTAAGAATTGTGATGAAATATAACACAGATATATAAAATTATGTAAAGTATTTTCACATGTCAGTTACTGTTTTGTAATACAGTTACAGGAACATACACTAAAAGTCTCAGGTTTAAGTCATCTTGATACTCTGATAACATATTTTTGCGTACTCTCTCTTTAGCAAAAAAAGAAAACAAGGAAAAACAGCAATGATTACCCTAATGCTTTTAAGGAAGAGTGCTAAAGTAAAGGGAAGATGTGGCAGGATATGAAGAGCACAGATATTCACAATGGCCACAAAACGAACAATACTACACATACAACCTTTCTCGACCTGTAGTGATTCAGACCAGAAAATGACTTTGTAAGAGGAACAGAATTAAAAATTCTTATGAATTCCTAGTCAAGCTACAGACACATGAGATGTTTGCTGCTGGAACATCTGTGAGCTGAGGTGAATTTGATGACCTACCCATGTATCTCAGTATTGCATTCCCATAAACAAAGAACTTTCACTGTCTCATGCTCTACTACCTACACTCAGCTTACAGGGAACTTTACCATCTGCACATTTTGAAGGTTATATGCAGTAATTTGCAAGCTTTCTAATTTATCATTTTGCTAATCTTTGAAACCAAATCTACTGTTTCTGTGGAATTCCTGGTAGCTCTGGAAGCTCTAGCCTGTGTGGCTCAGCATCCAAAACAAAAAATGAGTAACTAATCTTTATTCCTGCTGCTTTTCACATTCTTGGTATTTTCCTATCATCTATGCTGGACCTTGCCACATAAATGTCTTACTACTCTGAGTACTTTGGCTCAAGAAAGCTTTTAGAAATAGAAAGGCAGCAGCATTTAGAGATCAAAGACAATTCCTATTGAATGGGACACACATAGGAATGATCATTCACCTTCATCACCAAAGAAGAACTGTGATGTTTCTTCTTTAATTGACATTTCTTCTATATTCTTATGCCATTGATTCACCAGTTTTATATTTTCCACAAATATCCCCCATACAAACACCAAGCCATACATACCTCTCTTTCTCTTCAGGGTATCCACTTATTTTCTTCAAGTGTGTACTTTTAAAGTTATACATAAAATATAATTTTATTTATTAATGATAATTATTTTGTTAGTATGATGGGAGCCTTGACCCTCCTCTTTCTCCCAGGCATGGGACAAGACATGTATTCCCCATTTCCACTTCATAGACATCCTTGAATCTGCCCTGGAGAGTTATCTTAAGTCTAATGCTTCAAATCATTTAACTAAACTAAGCATGGTGGTGCATGTCTGTAATCCTTGTACTTGGGTGGCTAAAAGAGGTGCATGACTTGTGAATTTGATGCCAACCTGGAGTAAACAGTGTGTTCAAGATCAACCTGAACTATATGCTGTTAGTCTATATCTAAAATAGATGCAAGAAAAGAAATTGCAAAAGCTCCATAAATCCATGGAAATTAAACAGCATACCAATAAATAATCTATGGATCATAGATGAAGTTAAAAAAATAACAGTAATTAAAAATGAAAGCTCAAGTGCCAGACAAATAACTCAGCAGATTAAAACTCCTGCAAAAAATGTGCAGCGGCAGGGGGTTTGATCTCCAGGCCTGCCATGCTGGCCCCACCCCAGGAACCACTGAGAAAGCCTCTTGAGAGGCTGAGAACAGGTGGATCTCTATGATTTGATCTAGTAATGAGACCCTGAATAACCTATAGACCCTTCCTTAAATACAAAAAAATGAAAAGAAAACAAATGAAGACTAAAAGAAAATTCAGATGTAACTTAACAAAACTCATGGGGTGCAATGAAAAAAATAAATTTATAACAAGAAAATCTCTCATTAGAAAACAGAACAAGCAAAGCACACAGTATTATACTATATCTTAGTATATATACTAACATACTATACAAAGACTAATTAAAGCCCAAAGAAGAAAGAAACTATAAAGATCAGAAAAGAAGTTAATCAGTACAGATTAAGAAGTCAATAGAAAGAATGAGTCAAATTGAAAAACTAAATAAAATTCATAAACACCTGGAAACTCTTATTGAAAAAATTATTCAAATCCATGCAATCAGAAATGAAATCAATACCTACACCAAAAATCTTACAGTCATGAAAGAGGTATTTTCCATCAGTCTTTGATACATTAAACTGTAAATCACTACAGAATATGAAAAAATAAGTCAAAAAATATAAAACAGAAATAAACAATAACAATTTTTTACATGGAAAATTAGAAATCTAACCATATATAATGCTGTAGTGGGCCAGTCCTATGATATTTTTTTCTTTACTCTTGTCATTTATTACCTTTTTTTCCTTTTTTTTTCTAAACAAAAATTAACTTGAGACAAGGTATAGTGGTAATTGATATAATATTATAAGCACTTATGTCTAAGTTGCTTGATATTCAGGCAGATACTGATGTTAAGCTCAACAGTATACGTTTTAGGGTAATAATGTCATTAAGATTCTCTTTGGAGTGTTAACAACTTTTCAGGTCAAAAATTAGGGAAAAGAAAGAGCTAAAAGATAGTCATCATTGAGGCCCTAGCCCTTCAAGGTCAGTAAGGACTCAGGACATATAAAAACCTGTAATGTAACATCCTGTAAATTAGTTGTGCCCCAAATTTTCTGATCAAGGTGATAATGGGGCCACAGAGGAAAGTGATCAATAATGTGGACTTTGCCTAAGGAAAGTCGCATGGAAAGAAAACTTTCTCTCAGGCTTTCACAGAGAGCAAATTGGTCAAACAATGGCTATTACTCATTCACATGGCTGACACTGACAAAAAATCCACAAACTTCTCTACAGCATTTCAGGATAAATCCTGAGAGGATTTGACTGATCTTTTCAGATACAGAAGTTACATTTTTTGTTATATAGGTCTTGCTTTTTCTTGATCTTAGATATCCAGCAGAAAAGTATAAAAATTGGACATAAAAAGTAAACCCATATTAATATTCTGAGCTGTAAATGGCTCAAGTCAACAATTTCTGACATTGGTAGTCCTGTGGATAACCCACTACTATTATGAACTACTGAACTACATTGGATTACTTTGCTGAATTCATACACCTACAATATATGCATGGCAATGGAATATCCATCTCTGACAAAAGTAAACCAAAAAAGGGGATATAACACAAAATAGTTAGCACAGAAAGAAATCTCCTTTCTCTTAGTTCGATGAGAAGAAAGGTTTGGACTAATAGTGTTTAGAGAATATATCATGTATGCATCTTCTACTCTGAATTACTATGAAGACAACTATATGCAATGTTTTAAATATTGTGACTGTCCTAGTAACCTGTTTTGAAACTGTCTCATTCCTATTTCTTTCGCTATAAAATTGATGAAAAAATCTTGCTTTCACATGATGTAAAAAACAAGAAAGGAACATATACTTAAGTATATTTGATTCACTAAAACTAAAAAAAGAGGATTAAAAAATTGTCAATATCAGGCCATGAAGTTGAAAATGTAATAAAGATCCTACCAACAAAGAAAGTGGCCAAGTCTTCATGGATTTACAGCTGAATTCTACATGAAATTTCAAGCAGTTTTAATTTCAATTACTCTTAAAATATATAAATAATTTCAATAAAAGTTATCTATAAAAATCTAATAGCCAACCTTACACTAAATGAACAAAAAATAATTGCCTTCATTTTAAAATCAGGCACAAGACATGGATGTACACTAGAACCACTCCAATTCAGTACAGTTCTCAAAACATTAGTCAGAGCAATTATATGAGAGAGAGAAATGATAGTAATAATGACTGAAAAGAAAAAGTGAGGGGCTGGGGAGATGACTTGGTGGAATAAGCGCTTCCCTGGCAAGCTTAAAGGCCTGAGTTCAATTCCCAGTTCTGCCCTAAAAGAGAGAGAGAGAGAGAGAGAGAGAGAG